TCATATACGGGTTCAAGATGTTTCTATCAATCAATTCAGTATACATCTACTTTTTTCAGGAAATGGTAAATCTAAATTAAAAATTTCAAACACTATGTTTCCCAAACCAGAAATATCGAAATAATCGGCAATTTAACGGCCGATAGATGCCACCAACATTGTGAGAATTTCGATTAATTTTCTTAGAAGGTCTAATTGATGGCGAAAAACCCTAAGAAAAGCAGATACTTATACGTTAAGTTGTACGTTGGACTTTTTAATCCAAAAACTCTCAAAATTTGGAATATCAAGCATATTTTCAGCCTATTTATTCAGCATATTTTTCGTTCATTCCTACAAAAAGATAAACACCTTGCAAAATTTATCGTGTTTTGACATTTGACGTTTAGCAACTTTGGTAATAATAAATAATTTATTCAACAGAAAAGTCATGTTCCCGTTTTAAGTCCGCTTTAATTTGTCAGCTTTTGGAGTTAAATGCGCCGACGTGTTATTCTCATCAAACATCGCTCCTAAAATCGTCTGAAAATGTTGATAATCAATCCTATTATATCGTTGGGTTTTCTTCGACTGCACATCGAAAAACGAATGTATCAGCATCAAAAATATCTATTCAGTAATTTTGGTTCCAAATTTGAAGTGACAACGACTCGACCTCGACAAATACTGCAAAAGAAATGATATATTCTTATTGAGCGAGAAAAAAAAACAGGTTGGCTAATTAACATTTACAAGTTGCTGATTATCCTCTTTTTTATGCAATAGAAATCCTGATGATTGTTTAAACCCTTTATTTAACTACAAAGTTCCGTAACCAAAAGGGCAAGGAAGACTCAAACATAATGCTTACAAACTATATCCGATGAATAATCGTTTCTAAGTTGTTATTAACACATTCAGCATTTTGGACTTTGGCGACCTTGAGGAAATTTTTGAGGTAAACAGAGCAACATATTGTGTGCCATAGCTTACGTGTTACATAGAATTAATCATGTAACGGTTCAGTTAGTCTGCTCAATCTGCTTTCGTTGAAAAAGACCTTTAGTTAGTCTGCTTTTGAAATTGCATAATACCCTTATTTGAGAGTCAAGCCAACCTTTTCATTGTGGTATGCAGAATTAAAGGAGCCGCGGGTAGACATCCTTTTCGTAAAGAATGTGAATTTTCCAGGGGTAGTATTACTCAAATCATCTGTGTTTTCGATTTGATCAACTCTTACCTCTCAAGTTGTAAAGCTCTTTGTTCCCTCACTGCTTTTGAGGGAAAGTGCTTTCTTTAGCTATGGTTGAAATAGAAACACACGGTTTGAAGCCAAAACGATTATTTATTCTAGATAAGAACTTCCATGTCCCCTCTACAATCTCACTGAACCATGGCAAAGTTCAAATATTTGTTTTAGGAAAAACGACCCAAATGTTATTACGATCTCAAATTCTGCAATAAGCGTAATTTTCAGCTGATAACATTCACAAATTATCATTGTGAAACGTCATATTCGGTCTAAAGTAGCTTTTAAACGTTGTTTGGGAAGATTCCTTATGGTTCTCAAGTAATTCAGTGTTTTCTTAGGAAACTCCGCTGTGTGCTAATAAAGGATTGTTAATGAAAATCTTATATGAGAAGAATGTCTTTGACAAGGAAATATTGCAAGCCTCAAGAAACGTCAAGCCTCCCATTGCCTAAGCTACACACAAAGCTCTAGACATACTTATTTTTGTATCAATCAAAAGGGTTTCACTTATGTATGTAACTTCCTGAAGATAAATAGAGCCTGAGTAAATTTTTACAGGCAGGGACAACTGCATTTTTTTTCTTTTTCCCGTAAGAAATGTGGCACTTGTTTGTGGTTTTGAAAGTTAGTTCTCTAATTAAGAAAGGACTTCCATCAACCTGTCGCGTAATTTTAATTTGAAAACTTGCTCTGGCCTCGAATGTGGGAATTTATCTATCAAAGTTTAGACAGCTCCATCTTGCGCGAAAGCCACAATAACCATAATTCACGGACGTCAAGCGCACGCAATACAAACGATTTGCTCGAACCTCAAGGGCTTCAGAGCTACAATACAAATTCTAGTTGACAGCGAGGACAAAATGCGTTGTAACTTTACGCTGATATGCCAAATACTTAAAGTTTTTTTGCTAAATATTTTTTAGCTCGACAGTTTTCAATGAGTCGTCGACAGTGTAGTTCAAATAAATTAATGGGGCTGCAAACATGACTTTTGTTTTTCGTCATACACACTGTCTTGAAATTTGCTTACGTCCTTTTCATATTACTGATAGTTTATTGAATTGTCCACTGTCTTGTCTCAAGAAATGTTAAATCAACTCGTAATAATGATTCGAAATTATTTCAAAAGTTGCTATTCTTGTAAAATCGTTCGATCTTCTTCCCAGGGCTTCGTCACTACAAGTTAGACAAGAAGCACAACGTTTTCCGTCCGTATGATAAAATCATCTCGACAATTTGTGCACGATGAAACATTCAGCCAGCTTCACGCACTCTGTAGGAGTTTTAAAGCATATTTTAGGCGCACTTTTATCAGAATAAACAATTCATTTCTCCCCCATTATTTAACATGGTAAATGTTTTGTTCAAGATGACAGACAAGACAGATACCAGAAGCTGTTTGTTTCTTTCTATGAGACACCAAATGATTTCATTAATAAATTACCTCTTATTTTTTCAGCTTGCCTAATTCTTCGGTGGAAGAAAAAATTAAAATTGTTAAGTTCTCATGAGGTGTGATATGCCAGTGAAAAATAGCTCAATAATCTCGAACTTCAGTATCATTAAAGAAATAAAACGTCGGAAAAATTGTGATTCACATTTCTAGTCATCAAGTCTCTTTTGTTTAACTTTGCAATTGTGTTAGTCTCGATGCACGGTGGTTTAATTTCTGAAATTGAAAACTGTCAAACAATCTTATACACGGACGAGCTTTTTTCAACAGTCGTTATATGTTTGTTTTGTTTCTGAGGCGAAGAACTGTACATAAAAACTCAAGAAAACGTTCCAGTAAAGAATAGTGAAATCGTTTCAAAGACAGCTTTCAAGACATGGGGTTTGCCTAAGCTAAGAGGCTTGCATTTTTCGGGGAACTTATTCAGCGTCGTTCCTAAGGCCCTGTTTACTATTCGAGTTGTTATCAGATAGTTGTCTTTTAACTGTCGACTGGTCTCATTCGCGTTTTCAACGACATAGAGAATACTTTACTTAGGAAGGCGATAAATTAAATAGTGCTATTTTTGGAATTATGTATCGTCCAAACTGTTCGAATAAAGCTCATGTAGACTTGTTTTCTATCGATTACGATTCATCTTTCGTTAAATGTGTTTCATTGGCGCCTTGAAACGAAGTAAGTACGTGCATATGTAGAATATGGAATTAACAATCAAGGAAATGCAGATGCTAGAAATACAGAATATTGTGGTGAAACTTGCAAGATTTAATGTATGTTATAGTCTTCATCCTGAACTTTGTATCTTACACTTAACGAACCTTGGCTGGTTTTTAATTAAGCATTTATGAAATAATCAGTTCGGGAAGTTAAACGCTGACTACCATAAACGCTTTCCAAACTATTTTGTGTTTTCCAAAATAGCGTTTTCCGCCAAAAATGGCTTATTTAGGAGTAAAATTAGTGTCAATTCCGCAAAAATACGTCGAATAACACCTTTTTTTTTAAGACCTAGAGGGAGGGTGACCTCAAAGTGGCACTATCTAGGCAGAAAGCACGGAAATGTCTCATAAATGATAGCACCAGAAAGACTTCGATTTTCACGGAGGAAGGAAAAGGGTCGTTTCAAAAGGGCAAAACTTTGTTTAATTCCACGGACAGTTAAATGTCAAGGCATTTTACCCATACAAATATTCCATTTTCCACTGCATGGTCTGTTAAAGATGGTGAAAGTGCCCAAAATTCTCTGAACGTTTAATATATGAACAATAAAGTCTATGATTTTAACACAATATTTAAAAAATCCGATAACCTGGTTTATTTAAAATTCTGCATTGGATAACGTCAAATGCAGCAGAAATTCTGCGCGATGTAACGTCAAGCGCTGCAGAAATTCTGCTCGATGAAACGTCAAGTGCTGCAGAAATTCTGCACGATGTAACGTCAAGTGCTGCAGAAATTCTGCACGGTGTACCGTCAAGTGCTGCAGAAATTCTGCACGATGTAACGTCAAGTGCTGCAGAAATTCTGCACGATGTAACGTCAGATGTTGCAGAAATTCTGCACGGTGTAACGTCAAGTGCTGCAGAAACTCTGCACGATTTACCGTCAAGTGTTGCAGAAATTCTGCACGATTTAACGTCAAGTGCTGCAGAAATTCTGCACGCTGTAACGTCAAGTGTTGCAGAAATTCTGCACGGTGTAACGTCAAGTGCTGCAGAAATTCTGCACGATGAAACGTCAAGTGCTGCAGAAATTCTGCACGGTGTAACGTCAAGTGTTGCAGAAATTCTGCACGATGAAACGTCAAGTGCTGCAGAAATTCTGCACGATGTACCGTCAAGTGCTGTAGAAATTCTGCACGCTGTACCGTCAAGTGTTGCAGAAATTCTGCACGGTGTAACGTCAAGTGCTGCAGAAATTCTGCACCATGTTACGTGTAGTGTTGAAGAAATTCTGCAGTAGTTTCAGATAGGAAATTTTAAGGGTCCTAATCTATACCGTCATTTTCAACTCTAGTTTTTTAATGTTTTTCTATATACGTCAACAATACTCTTCATCCTAACGCTTTTTCCATGCTTTTAAATAAAACAAGTGAAATGAACCTCACGGTTGGAATCTAAGGGCTCCCAACGGGACCCATAGCTTTAATGAGTAGGTAATTCAACTTACAAATCAGACTACGAAGATACAAGACTACAAATTTTAGTCTCTATCGCTGCCTGTTCGGAAGGCAAAGCGGTACTGTCTATCCTAACTGCGCTTCGCCCTTTCCTCAACGCAGCCACCATTGCATAGCCATTGGGGGTTCCAGCATCTATAACCACGTCCCCTTCTCTGGAGAGGTTTTCTACAAGCCATGTGTAGCCTTGTGCTGGGAATGAATTCAGGAAAATCAAATTTTCTTTACTGGCGGACAAATGTCTCGAGGTTATTTGCCTTGAGACAGACCAGTGTCCAACTACAAAGGTTTCCAAGGCTTCCTGTAAAACCGGACCTAAAAAAAAATTAAAATGAGTATCAACAATATGATATATGCGTATTATACACTTACTAATTTCTTTCGACACTGCTGGAACGTTTTAATTCACCAAACCTTATTATAAATTGTGCATGTAATACGCTCTCAAGGAGAAAGTTTAAAACAAGTTCAGATTATAGAATCATGATATATATTTTTGTTAACTCTACAAGTACATCAAATAATTCAATTCTGTTGACTATGAGTTTTTTAAAACTTTCTTCTGAGGACAGTTGTTTAATTCTAGAAGTATCTTACCTTGTGCTGTAGTTGGAGGTTTATTTTGGACGTAAAAGTAGCCATGCTGTGCCAGAGTAGCGCCCTCTTTTAGCATTTTTTCTTTAAGATTTTTTACACCTTCAACCATTGTAAATAAAACAATGTTGAAGGATGTAAGCTTACAGAAATTAATGCGGGAAACAGTACTAATTACATCATCAGCATTCTGTGAAGAGAAAAATATGAGTCGTAATAAGTAAATGCAAATAACTAAAAGTTATCCATAAAAAACAGGATTTGATTAGGATTGTAGTAAAATCCTACATGTATTCGTTAAAGGCGATTTTTCCGTGCCGTTCTCAGCCTAACTGGAACGTAACATGATTTTTTATCATAAAAATGAAGTAAATGTTCATATTAAGTTCATTTAACTTATCTTATAACATTTCCCGGTTAAAATGAAACTTTTCGGAAAATTAAAACAACAGAAGGTGACAAGAAACATAACGTCTTATGCTAACAAGGGCAATTAAAATAACAATGCCTCGTCACTTAATTCATTTCTTTCCAAGTCACTCGATAGTCGAACGGTAGCGGGAGAGTCTCACCTAGATTTTTATCTTACCTCGCACTGCTCCCCTGCTTCACCTATGGTTAAAAACGCTCCCTCGTAATGTGGCAACTTTGCCAGATCGCTTTGTTGTACGTCTAACAGGCTGTTGCTAAATACTACGAGCCCAAATGCTCCCATTTTTCCCTCTATGAGGTCGGCCGTCTCAATGACCTCTCCTGTTCGTATTCTTTTTAAACGTTGCAAGTATTTTTGGAATTCGTGAGTCTGTTCAAAGTCTTTTCCCTACAGATAGTGAACGAATAACTCAGTATATCAACGATGATTTGCTCCATGGATGGATTCTAAAACTGAATTATCGAAACGAAGGTTTTTTCCCTCAGGCGATGGAATTCATAACATCTAGAAATGAAGGAAATTTTATGGGGAAGTTGAAATATTTAACTTCAAAAGGGAAATCGCCACAGAAGGGCAATATGACATGATTTAATTACAGAGTAAACAGAAAAATTGTCAGTCAAATAAGTCACTGAGTCACTGAGGTACGTACTATTACATGTCAACTTACAGCAAACTGCAACAACTTTTCAGATGATACGGCGCTTTTAAATTCTTCAATAGCCTCTTCCCACGTGCTGACCTTGAAGAATTTAACAATGGCCTCCTGGACAGGTCTTAGAGATTTTACTTCGGAGGCAGCAAATTTCATTTCTTCCAAGCTTAACTCGCAAGTTGCCACCTAAAAACGATGAATAAAAACAAGCGGAGATAATCAGCTTTCAAATGTTCACTATTTTTCTGAAAGTATGAAACCTCTCCTCAACCACAGGGCTCAAAAGAGAAAAGAAAAATCCAGGTAGATACACTCCTGATGATGATCGTGATGATCATGACGATAAGAAAATTGAACAATTGAATTAATAAATCATCTCATACAAATTTGAAGACAGGATACACTTGACAATGATTTAAAGGACAATGTCGCACATATCTCACCTTTTTTAGAAGAAACGTTTGGTCTTTTACGGACAACTTGCAGAGGGGTTTTAACTGCCACTGCCTGAGCACAGGTTTCCCTTTCTTAACTATGTCCGAGGCTTTAGCTTTCTGTCCTTTTAATTGGGCATTTTCATGCAAATCGTTTAAATTCCTAAAGTGAGTCCAGCCCTCTCCTGACAGCTGTGCCATGGTAAAGATCTCACTTAGATTTCTTTTCTACAAGGCAACACACATTAATGTCAGATTAGTTTGCATCAACAGTCATAGCAATATCTCGCAGAGGTCATGGGTTCAAATCCCGTACGGGCAGGCCTTATTTCAACTACTAGTTCAGCAGTGTTCATAGCTGCGAGGATCTCTTATATTCGTTTCTTCACCGCAGTGCACGTATGTGATTTTCATATATCTACAATCATTAGAGAAATTGTCTTGGCGACTTAACACAACACTTTTCCTTAACCATCACGCTCAACATTCTTTGATGCATCTCAAAAGTACATGTAGATTTCCCTCATGGTGAACTAGCTTGATGGGTTTGAGCTGTATATGATCAGTAGCACGCTTGTCACGTACAAATTGAAAAATCACAGATTTGCTTGAATCTTTTTTGTGTTTTTGTTGAAACGTTGTCGAGATATGAATTTTTTTCTGCGTCCGAAACAGTTGGCAAGCGCTGTGATCTGCCGCGCGATAGTACCAGTCAATGAATTTCCTAATCGTATTGTTTGCGACAAGTGCATTGGAGCATAAACAAAATGCTCAAATGACAAGCTAAATTTTGGTACCATACTCGATCGAATCCGTTAAAAGCCGACGAAAATATTAGCATTTAAGTTCATCCGAAACATTAGGTCTACAATTTTGATCCTCAGGAAGCTACGCGATCGAATTTATAGCAAAAACAAGCGCGACGCTCTTGTCATTTTGACGGCTTCCTTTACTTCCAAATCATCCCAAAGTCTACTTAATCAATAAGGACTGTTTTAGATTTCCTTATTAAGAAGTAAAATATTACATCAGGTGAGGAAATGAGCGGGAAACTTCCTAAGTACATACCGCATGTTTCAAGCATGCAGTCAAGTGCTGTTTTTGTTCGCAAGCACAAGGCCGTGAAATTAAATGCAAAGATTAAGGATTCTAGAGTTTCTAGGATTCAGATGTGGCGAGAAAAAAAACATTTTCCTTGAAACACGGTATTTATGCATTAAAAAAAGGGCGTGGCCGCATTGCATCATGGGTAATAGAAAATTTGCTTGAAATGCGTCCGAATCGACCGAAATGACATAATTTCAAGATAGGAACCAATTTCCTTCACTTTCTGACTTAATTCTAATAAGAATTGGTTCTTAAATAAATTTTTCAATTTTACCCCAATGTTACGCTTTTGTACATCAGAACTGTGCTACTGATCATATACAAGGAAACACGCTCGTATGCTTTTATTAAGAGTTTGCTGCCTGCTGTGCATTCACTGAGAGGAAATTTAAGTGTCAAGTAATAACACCTGCAAGTCGGTGGATTACTTGTGAAAGTAACAAGTATATATTTTCACAATCTTACCGATTTTTTAAGCAGACTCGAACACTTCTCTCTCCACGCTTCAGGAGGGGTTGGTGGATCACCTGAATAGTCTTCCGCTGGCAGGAATAATTGGGTGCGACAAATCTCAACCTTGAATATTGGAATGGAAAACATTTTTAGTGACACATTTGTTAATAATCCAAACTACATAAAGTTCCCAATTCAACTGAAAATTAACATGGAAAAAAGCAGCATCTGATTGCCAAACAGCTGGCAAAGAAACTGGAATGATTTTTTAAATGTACTCATGAATTCACATACAAAATTTTGAAAGCAAAGATATAAACAGAACAGACTAAACTTATAATTAAAGGGGTTAATTTCTTAAGAAACTACGGTGATACGTCGAAAGGAGAGTATGACAAGGCTATTGGTATTATCAACTGAGTTGATAACGTAAATTGGTCACCGTAAAGAGTTCCAAGCTGATGTATCAAGCGTTAGCCCTTCGTCAGAGCGAGAAATTCAAATTATATATTTATAATGATTGATAATAATTATAGTAATTTGAAAAAAAAATCTAAAAATTCAAAAAACAAACTAAGAATTGTTTTCAACATTTGGCACATTTCACAATAGACAAATTTTGACCTTACCTCATTCCTGTACGTGAGCTCGTGACGAAATGCCCCAGTTTGATTGTGCATGGCTCCTAACCACAAGGCTTCTTCATCATTGAGCCCAACATATATCCTGGCCACCCTTCCGCTGTAGTTGGCGTCGTGAGGAAATTTCTCACGAAGATGTTTCGTAGCCAAGACAACATGAGTTCCACCGAGAACTTCATATTTATATTCATTTATCTTTTCCAACTCAAACTGGTCTTTCTTGGTAATTCCTTTTGCCAAGACAAACAGCGCTTCATAATTCCCAGAGGGTTGCTCACTCATGTTTTTAATCAACTGCTCAAGGAAGGCGGTGTCTACTTCTCTTATCTGTCTTTTCTTTGGAGGGAGGATTAAATTGTCGATGGAAATTAAATGTGCCTTATCTGGAAATAAAAAAAGAACGACAATGATAATACTATTGATCATTATGTTACAACGATGCTACCACTTCCACTAATGATAATAATAATAATAATAATAATAATAATAATAATGATAGTGGTTGTATCAAAGATAACAATAATAAGAGTAATAATAAATAATGATGATAATAATATTAATAAAGATAATGATAGCAATAATCCAACAAAAATGGCAACATCAACACTTTAAAAAAAAAAAAAGGAAAAATAACTCAAAGAACAAATACCTGTCTATGTAAACCTTCGAGCGAAAAATTTAAGACTTTACCCTATTTTAATCTGATGATGTGCATGGTATTACTCTGGTATGATATTGATTTTACAGGCCTTTTTGTGAATGGTAAGCGGTTGCAGATTTTTCAACCGCATGTAAGTCTCACATAAAAAAGCTATATGCATCCTATTTTGACCACATTCATCAGTTAACTCTATTGAGCTTACAATGAAAATCAGGATTGCATGGTTTACAGTCTATCAGGTAGCCAGAAATTCTTGATACAAATGCTTCACTTATTATTCTTTCTCGATCCAAAGCAGGTAACATTTGATAACATGCCTGTTATTATTAAATCTTACTTACTATCTAGTTGACATTCGTTGCACCTCTTCTGTATACTTTTCCTATAACTTCCTTCCTCCCTATTGTGTCCCGATCGCTTGCTTGATTGTGAAGTAACGTCACAGAAGAGAGGAGTTAAAGACTGAGAAAGCTCAACGTTTGTATGCGGCCGTTGTTCTGCATGGGAAGGGTCATGATCCACTTCAAGTTCCTCCAAACTCTTTTTGATCCCGTTAGCGAGTTCGTCGGCTGTTTTGGTCACAATTTTCTTAAATGAGTCATCACTTGCAAACCTATTAAAATACCGTGGGTTCACAGATCCAAACCGATACGCGCCCCGTGAATTTATTGGAGTGAATTCGAGCTGAAAGAAGAATTGATGATAGATTTTAGGCTTACAGTGAATTGATACATCAGTAATTTAGCCATAACCTGGATTGAATGGGAATTTAGAGTCCAATGTCAGCAATAAATGTATACTGTATACTTTAAATCACCTTGAGTTTCTTCTTGGGAGGTGATGCTCCAGATTCTTCAGCAACAGAACCTGATGAGTCTTGGTATGATTCGGCTCCGATTATGTTTAAGAAATTTTCCACTCTTTTTCCTCCTCTGTATAAATACGCGGCTCCCGAATTCACTTTAATGTACCACAGTTTCGCTTCATTACTGCGCTTATCTTTTGGAGGCATCTTAAGTAGAAGGTTAGTTTACAACCAAGGCTGATCAGTTCTGGGATACACTCCTGAAGACCTTAAGACCTGAAGACCTAAAGACCTCTTATCGCGAATCATCATTGCCTTTTTTTATACTACTGAGGGAACAATAATAGCAGTGATGAAAAGAGTCGCGATGAACTGCATTTCCGTCAAAGCTTTTTACACCTTCAGAATAAATTAAAAAGGTGACATTTTCCTGTGAGAACCAGTCGACGCAACTTAAAAGCTGCCTTGACACTTCCTGTTGTTTTTGTGTTATAACTGTGAGGCCTTGTCCACGCTATGCCTTTTAAATTTTGGTATTAAATCGTCGTTTCCTTCCAATCGTGGGAACAGTTAATTTTGTTTTCGCCCACAGTCCAACGATCTCTGGCGGTATCATCGGGCATGTATACATAACTAGGTCTAAATCAAACAAAAACCGCGGGCGTTTTGAAAATGGCTCCATGTTCGGTTAATACTTGATCAACTTATGTGCACGGTATGCCAGTCAGAGATTTGAAGTAGCGATTTGAAATTTATCCACTATAAAAAGTGGATACCACAGTGTTTAAAGGGGAAAAATTCGCTGAAGATTCCATCTTTGACATCAAAACCCATGACAAGCCGTTCGAGACCTCCCAATTCGTGCCACCCATTAGGCGAAAAATATGTTCTCACTAAGTCGAAGGAATAAGATTGCTTCGGACTAACTCTTCGAAAAAACATTTGAAGAGGTCCTTTTGAAATTCAAACAACGTTTCAAAGCATGAGGGTACCCAGAAAACATCATAGGAAGGACTCTGTCGGGGGTCAACAATCGGCCCTTTCACGTACACAAAAGCCAAAAGGTCACGAACGATTGTTGCCTTTTGTCACAACGTGCCACCAGACGGTCAAAAAATTAAATCATAATATTGATGAAACATTGGAGTCTGATACACAATCAGCCCTTGCTGAAAACAATTTTTACAAAACCTCTGATCATCTCTTACAAATAGGGAAAATCCCTCAAAAGATATGCTTGTGAAAGCAAAAGTATAATTTGAAGGCGATAATACGACGCGACCAAGAAAGCCTCATGGTGAGTCCGTGCCGGCCTTTCTTTACCTTTATTCTCAAGAAAGAAAAAGTGTTTCATTTCCTTTCTTCATCTGACAATTACCGGTGCGGCTAAACACACAACAGTAAATGACATTTTCAGTAGATCATCCCGCAGTGAATCAAAGTTAGGTCTACTGGTGAAGTATACGTATACCGTGCTCTGTAGAAGACATAAGATATGCTGAAGCAAAGAAAAAGGCAGGAAAGCGAAACTATTTTTTAGAGTACCTGCATCAACACAGTAGCTCTGATGATTCCAATGAACTACAAACTGAATTTTATGTAAAAGGAAAGATTGTGTGTAGGGAAGCATGGCTTCTTGCACACAATTTAAATAAGGAAACCTTTAGACGAATTTGGGGAAAATTTAAAGATGGTGCAAATGTGCTGGAGCATGGGAATAAAGGAAGGAAGTCAATCACTAGCAAGACTGCAGATTGCATTGCCTGGTTGCAGTTTTTTGTTAGCTGTGTAGGGGACCACCAACCAGACAATGGTGGCATCCATTTACCAACATGCTTTACTAAAAGTGACATTTACAAAAAAATGCTGGAGGAAAATAAAGCACTCAGTCAGCCAACAGTATCCCTTTCTCATTTTTATGGCCTATGGGAAAGGAATTTTCTTCATGTCACCATTCCCAAGGTAAGTGGCACCAAATATGCAATAGTTTTCAGTATGATGATGACTAACACTTACAGGTGTGTGTATTTTACAAACCATTTATGTAATAATATCATTGCTGTTCCAATACATTAATTTGACAATGGCACCCAAAGAGAACATGAAAATGTGTTAAATATGGAAACCTAGATAGCAAAATAGGGGGCCCAGTAGGTCATGACCACCTCTTATCCAACAATCATGAGTGAAAAAAGTTTTATTTTGTGGCTTTGTTTGGTCTGTAAACTGCTGAGATGAACCATGCCTAGTTTTTTTTCATGTTATACCTCATACATGCAGAAATGATCTATCAATTTGAATCTTCTAGGAAAATCGCTTTACAAAATGCACAGACTGCACAAAATACAAGCAGGAGAAAGAGAAAACTGTGGACAAAGCCAGAAGGGCTGAAATTGATCACTTGCTGAAGCTTCATCTTGATTTAGTCTGGTGAGAGAAATGTTTAAAAAAGTACAGTTAGTTTGATGAACAAAAAATCTGTCACATCAAAAGCAATTCACTAGTCTTCTGGTCTTAAGAACTAATAATAATTTTTCCTTATATCACTAGGCAGGAAAGGAGGGTGTACTATCTTCACAGGTATAAAGCCAGGAGGTACCCATCAAAGTATGTGGCAAATATTGCTGATGGTATGGACCAACACACCACAAATGTCCCAAGTGTGCGCCGAATTACCAAGGCAATGTCTGCACTTCCCTTGCGAACTGAATTCCCAGTTTTCTGGGAATTCCTAGGAATTCCTAGGAATTCCTAGGAATTCTCAAAAATTCCCAATTATGCAAATGACCCTTGCAAACCGAATTCCCAGTTTTCTGGGAATTTCTGGGAATTCCCAGGAATTCCTAAAAATTCCCAACTATGCAAATTAACTCTGATTTAAAAAGCTTGGAATTACTGGGAATTTCTGGGAAAGGAAGACTCCAGTTTTGTGAGGACTTGGAATCCCTAGGAATTCCTAGGAATTCTCAGCTTTACAAACTACCTATAATTTAAGAAGTGTGGAACTCTTGGGAATTTCTGGGAATTGAATTTGAGGCAATTTTAATACCCTGAGGTCCACATAAATTCTAAGAAATTCTCAATACCTTGAATGTGAAGGTTTTAAGAAAAAGAGTAATTTCAGAGGCTTAAAACTTTGGCTCAATAAAAGGTATGCTATACAAAACTTACCAAGAGATATACATACATGTACATGTTTATAACTTAAAGATCATGAAATTTATTACTCAAACTAAGTTTTAGTAAATCTTGACATTAATATGGATTTTCTCATAAACCAGCTGTCAGTTATGTTAAATGGAAATTGCCAACTTCCACAATAATTAACAATAATTACATTGTTATCTTACTTCCCTAACCTACATTACTGGTTGCCTTTGTTAGAAAATCTTGGAACAGTCAAGCTCAGTTGCCTCAAACGCTGTCAGAGACTTTTTGTTGACAATACTTTTAGTAGAAATTTCATGCCTTAGACAAACAAATTCAACACCTAATTAATCTTTCTTTTTTCATGATTGTTGTTGCTGCTTTTTTTTTCAGTTTTTTGCTCTATTTTCATGACTAATTGCTGTAATTTGTTTTGCTGTTTTTATTCTTACAAAACATTTTTGTAAGAAAAGGGGAACATTGACTACCTCTTTCCTGTCTGCATGCCAAATGTTTGCAAAGTGTGTGGATGATCCACAAGTATTGGAACTCTTACAAAAATGTTTTGTGTATGTTCCAATACTTGTGGATCATCCACACACTTTGCAAACATTTGGCATGCAGACAAGACAAAGGTAGTCAATGTTCCCTTAGAGGAAAAACACCTTTTATATGACGTCTTCAATTTACTTTATTTGAAACTCTGATCTGAAAATATTTGTCAACAAGACTTGTTAGTAGTGAGAAGTACCAACCAAGTTTCCTTTCATAACTTAATTTCTTAAATGTCCCAATCACTGGATCTCCCAAAAAAATATTACATCTTTTTATTTTTGGTGCAAATTACAAGTCCTTCTTTATATAAAAATGAAAAGTGATAGTCACACTTCAATAATAACAGCTCTTAAGTTTACTTGTTGTTCTTCTCTGTCTGTCAGCTATCAACAAGATTGTTTTATACTTCGGGCAGTGCATAACTATTTGTGGACCAGAGTTCCAACGCACCTCTGTAATTGCATATAGCTACTCCTGTCTCTTGTACAAATGTTTCTCCTTTGTAAGACGCACTCTACTCTGTTGTCAATACTGCTTTAAGTTCATTGGAAACGACTGACTGAGGAATCGAGATGGCGGTGTTGGAACGTGTTGCTGAACGCTTGCTACGGTCAAGCTTTGTAGATTTAGGTACTGGTACACTGGGATCATCTATGTATCTCTTATACTTCCGAATGTGGTATCCTTCTTTTATAAGTATGAGGGTAAAAGAAGATTTGTAGTCGCATTCAAAACTGTGATTGGCTTGTGTTATTTCTCACCTTGGCCATTAACACAACTCAAGTGAGTTTCGAGTCTTTGTTTCCTCGACAACTTTCGGCCACAAATCGTGCATTTGTAATACGATCGATTCTTTTCGATTATTTCTACATAGAGTGAGCTCACATCTTTATTTGTATCACCAAGCTATCCATCTTCTAGAAGCAGAGAACCGGTCGGAGAAGTCAGAATAAAGTTAGGCGCTTCTCTTAACACTGCAATCGGCAAGCCAGCGGATTCACTTTGCTAGCCAATTACAAGTCCTAAAAGATCCACGTGATCATGCCCGTGATCGGAAACAAAGAAGACTCCATTTGGCGCTCATCTTTGAATGTACTTTTCATCGGTTGATCGCTTTTCTCAACTGTTTTGCTTAATATAACATTTCTAAAGATAGCTTTTATTGTGGTTCAATGGGAAAACGAGAATAGCGTGAGTGTTGTAAAAGAAAAGAAAGTCGTTGGCGCCGTGGAGTTAAAAGAAGGGACAACAGTTGACATATTGACTGGTACAAACAAGGGTCGAGTGGCCATCTGTAAAGCTACGATTTTGAAAGTTTGTGGTGAGTAAAAATTGCGATATTCGTTACGTGATCAAAATCTTATAAAAGAATAGATGTAGCGGGTTGAATTAAGCTTACGTAACGCTCGGCGTAACTGAAACTAGAATAATTCTGAGAATCGAATCGGTCACTTGCATGCCGCAGTTTCTTAAGCTTATGCTTTACAATGAAATAAACCTATCAGTAAGGTTTCAAGATTCCTCTAGTCACGTTTGGGAACATTCAAGATTCATAATAGGAACTGTTATTAAACAAACCTTAGTACATAAAGAAGCCCTCCTTGGTAAAAACAAAATAATGTATTCAGCCCTTTTTTAGTAAAATCCATGAGAGAGATGTACTAACTCCAATATAAAAGTCACTCAATATAACAGAGATTTCTCAATTTGAGAATCCAATGAATGCCCTTTTCCTCATAGCCATCTTAAAAGCCTGGTCTGAGCTTTAAATATACATATTTTAATATATTATTTTTTTTCAAATTCAGATGTCAAGGAATCCAGATACAAAATGGTCAAGGTTCTTGTTGACAACCTCATTCAAGGCCAACTCATTGTGAGCCCAGGAAAAAAAATACAAACAGTACAAACAGCAGCTAAGTTTGCAGTTTAGGATAACTTCATTCTAATTTATTGTTACAGTTACAACAAGATTTTCAAAAAATCAATTTTATTTGTCTGTAATTAGCCCCTTCACTCCCAAGAGTGCTTGGTTTTCAAATATAACTTAAGATATTGTATTTTATGGAAAAGAATCAACAGATTTTATTCACAATTTGTGTCAAACCAAATTTAATGATTGATTAGAACTATTTTATATGAATAGCTGTAATTGAGGATTAATCCGTATGAAGTTTTCAAGAAAAGAAAAATAAATCAAATCCCATCCTAATATTACCACACATTGATGTTAAAATATTTTACATGTAAGCCTTAATTAAGCTTCTAAATAAATTTCATTGAATACTTGAATTTTAGCTGGGTTTTTTTTAATTTAAAGTATTTATTTTATATCATTAGCCTCAAATTTTTGCTTAAAATTCCCAGTAATTCTAAAACATTCCCAAAAATTCCCAAAAATTCCCAAAAATTCCCAGAAATTCCCAGAAATTCCTAGAAATTTTTTAGATTTACAGCTTTTCAGGGAAAGTCATTGGTTCTCTGAGTTGAAATTCCTAGGAATTCCTAGGAATTCCTAGGAATTCCAAGTCCTGTTGGCTATAAACTTGGAATTTCTGGGAATTTCTGGGAATTTCTGGGAATTTCTGGGAATTTCTTGGAATTTCTAGGTTTTTAGAACCAGAGTTGTTATGGTTGGGAATTCCTAGGAATTCCTAGGAATTCCCAGTCCGAATTTACCGTGAAAATTCACACCTTTATTCCTAGGAATTCCTAGGAATTCCTAGGAATTCCTAGGAATAAATTCCTAGGAATTCCTAGGAAAATCCTAGGAATTCCTAGGAATTCCAAAAGCCATTTCGCAAGGGTTACGACTGTGGGAACACACCTTGTTGGTTCCATTATTCACAACGGACAAGCACAAAATGGAAAGGAGATTTATGGGTCATTTGACTACTACCAGTATCCTCATGACTCTAATCTTACCATGACAGTTCTGTTGGAAGTCCTTGTAAGATGGTCGGAGGAATTTGACCTACCACCCATTCTCTATCTGCAGTTTGACAACTGTGTTAGAGAAAACAAGAACCGCTACATGTTTGCTCTATTGGCACTTCTGGTTGAAGAGAAAATTTTTGAAAAAGTATGTTATCTTGGGTAATTTTAAAAGAAATGCATTTGCCTTATTCACATTTCCCACAAAGCACTTTGTTCAAGCGTCAAAATGTCCCATTGCAATGTTTTCAAGGTCCATTTGGGTGGGAAGTTAGTTTCCATTCAATCTCAATTTTTGCAACTACTGAATGAATGTAACCTGAAGTTGCAATTAAAAAAAAAACAACACCACTTTCCCTTCTTGTATTTCAGATAAGAGTTAACTTTCTCCCAGTGGGACATACCCATGAGGACATAGATGCCTTTTTTGGGGTTTATTCAAAGCACTTAGACAAACTGGATGTTTACACAGTCACAGGTAAGTTGTTCTAACATAAAGTAATTACTTCAAGGTACAGTTGGAGTAACTGAGAGGTTCAACAATCAAAACTGCCTGTGCAGTGTGATAATCTTGTGTGGCAAATATTCACATAAGTTATCTATCAATATAAATACATAGCAACTAGCACTGTGATCAAACAAATTTCTGCACGAGGCAAGAGCATGGTTCAAAATTTAGTCTATAGAAAGTATGAACACTTCCACTTGAATTAACAGATTAAATGTGACATTGACATGTTATAAATTTGGTGTAAATGTTTATTTACAGAGTACATGTAAGATCTTAATTTATTTTACACTTCACTGTCACTTAGAATTACTGAAGGCACTGGAAACATGCATGAAGAATCCAACACCCAAGCCCTATATGCTCAAGATGGTTTATGACATAAAATCATGGATAAGTGATTATTGTGAGGAGTTACATGAACACACAGTTCCAAAGTGCTTTAAATTTACATTGAATGAAGATGGAAAAGCAGTTATGCACTACAGAAATTGGAGCCATGAGCCATGGAAAGAGCCCATTGCAATGCTGAAGGTTAGCACATGAAATTCTTAATTAGTGGTTCCTGAGTCATAGTTAAAATAGTAACTTAAAAGCTTACCTGATGTTTTCTAAAGTAGCATTGGCACTGACAATTTGTAGGCCTGAAAAATAACATTAATGCTCCAAATAACTGAATGTTTGCTGACATTACATGTTAAGAATATGCTGGGTTTAAATTGATCCTCAATTTAAAATGTATCTCACTGCTTTTCCCTGTCTTTAAGATTGGGATCATAATGTGTACAAGTCAAAGAAGAATTAAATGGAAAGAGAAAGCCCTTATTATTGTCTCTCAAGGAAATTTGAGCCAACAAATACATTGCTAGACATGGTTTGATGCTACTCTGGTTTAAAGATTAATTTTGTTGAATTTAACAGATAAGTTACAATTATTTAATATTTAAACCAGAATAAAATCAAACCATGTTTGATTGTTCACCTGGCTGCCTTGTGAGGTTTAATATATCAAATTCATTGTTGCCTTTTTTTGCTATACTAGAGTTTACCCTCTGGAAAGCCAAATACTGTGACTCCTTCCCTACATAAACTGGACATGGAGGGATTGAAGAGAGATATTCCCACCAAATATCCCAAGAATATGCCCTTAAAAGCATCTGAAGAGTGGGAATCCTGGTTAGCAAATACAGAGTTTAATCTATTATCAGTACCTGACAACTACACTTGGCCAGTGGATAAATTGAAGAATACTTCAAGGACTGTTTTAGCCTCAAATGCTGAACTCCCTCATGAACTTTTAGAGCTCAGAGAGAAAGAGATCCAGCCTATCACAGAGGTGAATAATAATTAAAATGCAGCAGTGGACACTAAAAAGCCAAGCCTTCAAATGGTCCTACAGATATAAAAGAGAAATAATTAGAGGGGTCCATTCCTCTAACCCCTTCTGCGTCCAGTTATAGATTATACAAGTCCAACTTTAGATATATAATAATGTACATGATAAAATTACATGCTTCTGATTTGCTGAAAACAAGCCAATTCTCATGTAGCACAAATGCAAAGTTGCAACATGAGTCCAAATTACAAATAGGGCAAACACACTTTCAAAATTTTGTCTGCACATTGTTCTTGCAATTTGGTCTACTAAGCACTTGTAATTTTTCAAATACCACGAAATTGCACTTGCTCTTCAGGCTCGTGCAAAAATTTTGTTGTCTTTGGAAACTTATTTGTGCTTATTCACACCAAATTGCACTAATAGAATATGACACGGTCACATAATCCATTACTTATAATTAATCAAAGAATAAAATGATAAGAACAATTGATAATTGATACATCTCAGTCGAAATGCTCACCTAAACAAGTAAATTCTAATGAAATGTCTGTTGAATATTTCAGATTTACACAGGCCGTTACAGGACCCCGAGTGTAAACATATCAGGTCTGCGGTTATAGGTCTCGCGCATGCGTTATGCAGGGGCACATGGCAGGCTCGACGTTGTGTGGTTATCGTTCTTGTTTTAAGGAATTCTGGTTGTACCACTGTTTACAATAAAAGTAAGTTGACAGTAACTGAGGCCCACACAATCATATTACATGGTGTCAGAAGTGGGATGCCGAAGTAAGTAAGCAAATTTGATGACAATTTAACTCGCTACACTGGTGGAAGTGGAAGAGTGAACAACACGACCGATTGAACAAAACAAAAATGGCTACCGCCTCGTTTATCGACAAAGGTCCCTCCATGGATTGGAGTACAGACGACAACCTATACAGCCGCTTTAAAATGTGGAAACAGAGATGTGAACTGCTATTCACTGGCCCGATGGTGAAAATAGATGAAGAAGTACAGTGCAAACACCTTCTGTACTGGTCTGGCGAACACGGAATGGAGCTATTCAACAGTTGGGACTTATCAGCAGATGACCAAAAGAAGCTAAAAAACTACTGGGAGAGATTCGAAAACTACGTAAAGCCTCACTCGAACGAGCTGATCGCAGCGTGGGAGCTGCATAACCTCCGTCAAGGTACCTTATCACTTGAAGAATTCATTGCTAAACTAAGAATTCTTGTTAAAGAAGCTAACTACCCAGCAGAGCATCACAATCGATTTCTAAGAGACTTCCTGGTGCTTGGCATGAACTCCGACCGTGTTAGAAAGGATTGTTTTAAGAAAGGAAATACCCTGTCATTCAATGAAGCCAGAGAAATGGCAAAAGCAGAGGAATCAGCTGATAAACAACTTCAGTTGATGAACACAGCCGTAGAAGTGCACCCTGTCACTTCTGAGAACAGAAGCCCAAATCAGAGAAACCACTCAAATGCAGCGGGTGGTACGAAGCAAACCCAAAATGGCAATCGATGGGGCAAAACACCAACCTGCAGGAATTGTGGCTGGGGTCCTCATGCACGTGAACAGTGCCCAGCAAAGAATGCAACGTGTCACTACTGTCAGAAGGTAGGACACCTAGCCAAGGTATGCCTGTCAAAGCTTAGAAAAAAGAATGTGCATGAAATTGAAGCTTCCAGAAGTAGCAATGCTTTACCCAACTCAGAGTCCACCCAGCCAATAAGTGATTATGTGTTTTTGGGCCCAATTGAAGCAACACCTCTATCCATGAATGTCCATTCCATATCCTGTAGAGAAAAGGCTCTACTAGAGGTGTCCTTGTCGCTGGGGCCAGAAGGAAGACAAGTCAATACACTCTGTAAAATAGACTCAGGGGCAGAAACCAACATTTTACCTAAGTCCCTTTACCAACAGCTGAATAATGGGAGGATGGGTTTAGCACAACCCACGATGAGACTATCCGCATATGGTGGAGTAGAGATTCCTAACCTTGGATCTTGCCAAATATATGTAAAAGGCCCTAACAACCCCAGCCCTAAACCTATTCAAGCAGAAGTTGTTGATGTTGACGGCCCAGCCATAATTGGTAACATGTCAGCACAAAACCTGAACCTCCTAAAGCTCAACTGGCCAATAACCGCCAACCAGTATAGCGATGATCTGATCAGCCACAGAGGCACACCCAACCCTCAAGTAAACCACACCAGGCCCACGCATGATCTGCATACATTTAGGCTATTTGACATGGGAGGCAAGCAGCACCCATTCCCATTAACAAAGGACTATTTGTTAAAAGAATATGAAGATGTATTTACAGGAATTGGGTGCTTCCCAGGTGCACCATACCACATAGAAACCGACCCCAAAGTGCCCCCAGTACAACATGCACCAAGGCAGGTTCCAGTACAATTACAGCAAGCCTATATGGAAGAACTAGATCAATTGAAGAAATGGGGCATCCTTTCTGAGGTTCGCAACGAGTACACCCCATGGGTTAACTCGACTGTCGTAACAATAAAACCAAATGGATCGATTCGCTTGTGCCTAGACCCTCGGAACCTGAACAAAGCTGTTAAGCGCAATCCCTACTATGTGAGAACGATAGATGATGTGATACCGAAGGTGAGTGGCTCAACCCACTTCAGTATCTTAGATGCACGCAGTGGGTTTTGGCAAGTTAGCCTAGATGAGGAAAGCAGCAGACTATGCACTTTTAACACTCCCTGGGGAAAGTACAGATGGACCAGGCTTCCATTTGGTCTCACGTGTAGTGGAGATGTCTTTCAAGAGAAAATGGACATGGTCTTCGGTAAGTTGGAAGGACTAAGTGGTATTGCGGATGACACATTCGTCTATGGTATAGGTGAGGCAGAACATGACCAGCGAATACTTAATGTCCTCGACACAGCGAGGGAGAACAATGTGAGATTCAACCCAGACAAATTTCAGTTCAAGGTAAACGAAGCATCCTTCTTCGGTCTCACATGGACTCCTGAAGGAATCAGACCTGACGAAAACAAAATCAAAGCAATCCGTAACATGCCACCTCCAAAGAACCTTGCAGAGTTACAATCTTTCATGGGCATGATCAACTACCTGAATAGATTCTCACCCATCATAGCCCAGACTTCAGAACCTGTAAGACAGCTGATGAAAAAAGAAACGCTATTCATGTGGCAGGCAGAGCACCAAAAAGCATTTGAGAGTCTTAAACAAGTAATTACTGAGGCACCAGTCTTGGCGTACTATGATCCAGAAAAAGACAACCTGATCCAGTCGGATGCAAGCCTTCAAGGTATTGGATGTGTGCTGATCCAAGACAGTAGACCAGTGTGCTATGCAAGTCGGTCACTAACCGAGACTGAGTCGCGTTACAGCAACATAGAGAGAGAGCTACTTGCCGCCTGTTGGTCATTAGAGAAGTTCAACCACTATGTCTTTGGCAAAAGTGTCATCATTGAAACAGACCATAAGCCGCTGGAAAGCATATGGAAGAAGACCATAATGAGTGCCTCACCGCGGCTGCAGAGGCTTTTGCTGAAAATGGCAAAATATGACGTAGAAATTAGATACATACAAGGAAAAACCAATGTGATAGCGGATGCTCTCTCAAGGGTCAGTTACATGGAACCTCCCCTCAAAGAAGACGAAGTGCCTTTGCTTGAAGTCAACGCCATCACAAGCACTCTACCAGCAAGTCCCGCCAAACTGGAAGAAATACGACAGTGCACCGACCAAGACGTCGTACTCGCACACCTTAAAGATGTTGTGCACCATGGCTGGCCAGAATATCCGAACGAATGCCCCCAAGACTTAAGGGAGTTTTGGAATTTCAGAGAGGATCTCAGCGTTGAAAATGGCCTCGTTCTCAAGAGACACCGCCTCGTGATTCCTAGTAGGCTCCGCCCACAGATGTTGCAAATAATACACCAAGGACACATGGGAACGGAAAAGTGCCTCCTAAAAGCAAAAGAAAGCTTATTCTGGCCAGGCATATCAAGAGACATAAAGGAACTAACAGCCAACTGTGCCACATGCATACAATTCTCTAAACAGCAGCCAAAGGAAGCGCTATGTCCCCACAGTGTGCCCAGTTTTCCGTGGCAGAAACTTGGTTGCGATTTGTTTGACTACCAAGGTGCACAATATCTTCTAGTCGCAGACTACTACAGCAAATACCCCATCCTAAGGAAGCTGAACTCAACGACATCTGCTGCTATTATCAATCATCTCAAGTCAATATTTGCCGAGCATGGAATACCAGAATCCCTGGTTACAGACAATGGACCCCAATATAGCAGTCGAGAATTTGCTGCATTCTGTGATCATTGGGGCATTAATCACATTACCAGTTCCCCACTATATCCAAAAAGCAATGGATTCATAGAACGGATGGTCCAGACAGTAAAAAACCTGTTGAAGAAATCAGATGCCGCCGGACAAGATCCTTATCTCGCACTTCTATCGTATCGAACCACGCCTATTGACAGCAACCTACCCTCACCAGCTAAGGTTCTAAACCAAAGAGATTATCGCACACAACTACCTTGCAGTGGACGACTACAGCGCTCTCAAACCATGGAATGTAACCAAGAGCAACTACAGCATCGACAAGATGTCCAGAAACAGCAGTATGATGGGAAGTCCCCTCGTGAACTCCAAAAGCTAGTACCAGGTCAACAGGTGTCTGTGTTCCAACCGCGAACCAAGACTTGGGTTCCAGTAGAAGTAAAGCGAGAAACTACCCAGCCAAGGTCATACGTAGTAAAGACAGCTGGTGGTTCAGAGATAAGGCGCAACAGAGTACAACTGAAACTGTCGGGTGAAAGAGTATCAACCTCTGAAGAACAGATGGAGAACAATCGGGACACTTCCTCTTATCAGCCCACCACACCTATGACGACACCCCACGAAGTTTTGTCATCGGAGCCACCACAGACACCCCACAAGCCAGCTCAACCCACTGAGAAAAGTGATGGTCTGCCTTTGACAACCAGGAGTGGCCGTGTTGTAAGGAAACCATCTAGATTGGACTTATAAACTTCGTTGCAGACTGAGAAAACATTTCAGTTTAAAGCTATTATAAGCTGTCGTTGTGTTATACCTAACTAGCCAAACATTTTGTATTGTAGTTAGTCCCGCTGCCACACCCATTAGACTTTTCAGGGTGGAGATGTAAACATATCAGGTCTGCGGTTATAGGTCTCGCGCATGCGTTATGCAGGGGCACATGGCAGGCTCGACGTTGTGTGGTTATCGTTCTTGTTTTAAGGAATTCTGGTTGTACCACTGTTTACAATAAAAGTAAGTTGACAGTAACTGAGGCCCACACAATCATATTACACCGAGGGAAAGGGAAGCGCCTATTGAAATGGTAGACGATTTCCTCGCTACTCTTCAAGTCAGCTGCTTTGTGGCTTTGTACTTCGCCAATTACGATAAACTGCCCTGCATTGGCAAGGTCCTGGCCGTCGAGGAGGACAATTTTAAGGTGCATTACTGGAAAGGCACTTACTGTGGAAAGTGGACTCCTCAGCATGTTCCCCGACAAAAATCCAGACCATGGGTGGAGATCCTTCCTAAGAGCTGTATAGTGTGCAGTTCA